CTGAGATGTTGAGGATGAGAAAATGATGCCTAGACAGCATGGGTAGGAGCAGGAGATTCTCATAACAGGCACAGAAAGAGCAGGTCTATACATCCTTTAACTGGTAAGGCAGAGGACTGGGTTCATAATTCCAGAGGGGTAAGAAAACAGAAGAAAGGCAGCAGAAGGCAAAAATGCTCTGCTGTGTGTACCTGCCCCCACCGAAACTTACAGTAGCTGTTGTGCACACCTGAGTCTATCTCGTCTAGGAATTCTGTTCTTCACTGGGCTCTAGAGTTCCCATTTTTATCAGTTACTCTGGGTGCCTCTAGCACAAAAGCTCAGAAACCTGAGGCTGGTATTTGCAGGTGTGCTCAGCTGTCACCCTGCCTTTCTTTATGAAGACTGAAGTTCTCTCCTAACACACCTGGATGCTCTGCCAACATGGGAGGTATAGCAGCTAATAAGGGCTTGGTTTGAGGGACCATGTCTCATTTAAGAACATGGCACTGAGTGATGTCTCCTCTGATTTCTACACCAAAATGCAGTCAGCAAGTTCCATCACACATGGATGGTTTCAAGCCTGTGCTGTTAGACTCTACATTTGTCACTTCTGAGGATGCTGCAAGTTGCACAGTAAAATGAAGACAAGACATCCACCTAGTAGTGCATACCAAGCTTTTTCAGGCCCTACAACCACAGGAGCAGAACTGGAAAGGTCTATCCCTGACAGTCAAGCTGATGTCTCTTTTAGCTCACTGCTCTCTGTAACAACTTCATTTCAAAAGCCATTTTGAAACATCTCAAAACAGGGGATACTTCTTAATAACACTTCTAAATGGTGGGATTAAAGATTTTCTCAGCAGTGACTGTAATGAAAACCAACATTGTGAAAAAACACCTTGGGAGAGGTATACTCTTAACAACATTCTGCCAATAAAGTTATCAGAGTAAGGAAAATGTGGTCATGGGTTTGCACTTCAACTATTGCCTAATTGGTAGGAGAAAAGTGAGCCTTTAGCAGTGCAGAGTGGCCTTGACACTTTCATGTCATGTAGGTTTTACATTAGCACCACTGCATTGTGTGATACTGTAAATGAAATGAGATCCCACTTTGATGATCTGTGTGCAATTTCACTTAACTTTATTGGCAGACTCGAGCCTGGGTTTATCACCTATACATTTGAAGTAATTTGGGGTTGTTAGAAGGAGCCAAGGTTATCATCTTGTTTAGTGCTGCAAAGCATGAAACCTATTAAAACATGACAGGTTTGATTCCCTATGCCTGGCACTAACACACACTCAAAATCATTAGCACAAACCACAGTAAACCAAAACCAGCTTTTAAAATTTATTTTGTGAAAGCTGATATGAAATTCTGATAATTAGAACTGTGTGTCCCTGACTTCTAACTAAGATCAGGTGAGATGAGAATGTCACAGAAAACGTGTTATTTCTGTAACTAAAAGCAATGTGGATTTGGCTTGGTTATTATAATCATTACATCAGAAAAGGGAAAATAAGAGTTTAAACAAACATTGTGCCTTGGATGCTGTTCAACTCATCCAGTATGTTTAGGGAATAAATGATCCTAAGACCATTAATGATCTTATAATAATAATGGTGCTTTTTTGATTTGACAACTTGAAACTTTTCACTTTCCTTTGACTACTTGAAGTTTGACATGTGAACTCAATAGCTGTATCTGCTTTCCACTTGATAAAGACCAGAGCATGTTTAGGCAAATTTATGTTGCAGTCACACCTAACCCAGACTAGACATCAGAAATAGCATTACAGAGTGGACATACGGAGATACTGTATATTTTAAAACCTATTCAGGCTGGTAGGCTCCCAGTTCCATCTGAGCTAGAGTGCCTGCTTTAAAATTAACTCACATACATCCATAAGTCATGGCCATGCCTTTGTTCTACATGTCTGAATGCTAATGCCATCCAAACAGGTTCTTGTCAGGCTAAATGTAGGCCAAGAGATACTGTTTGCACACGTGCTGGGAGGAGAGAGAGACATATAGAAACAGCACCATCATGGGGAAGAATACTGTGTCCACATATCTCTGGTACAGGGAATAATCATCTCCAGACTCTTACACTGAGAAGAGTTCTGCAGCAGGTTCCAGTCCTTGATATTTACAGAAGACAGCAGGGGTTAAGTGAACAAGGACCATAACACAAGGATCCAAATATTCTTCTTAACCAGCATTCTTGGTGAAGGAGGAGTAAAATGCAATGACAGCATGTCCCTGAATAATACAGAGGAAGGGATCACTGTGTGGTTGGAAGGCACTGCATCAGGCCCAGCTAGTAATTTAGTATATCCAGGAGTGAAAGAAAATACACAGTAAGCCCCAGCAGCAGTCAGAAGTTTGAGAATGTCTCTGAGCATACACTAGAGGCTTGAGGGCAACTGTTGAGACACTGCTACATGCTAAAACCCAAGGGGTTTTGATAGATCCTTTTATTAATTGAAGTTCTGCTCAGGACAGCTCATCTAAAGGCTTTCAAAAGAAAAAACTTAATTTTGGTTCCATCTACCCTATTACAGTGTAATGCTGTAAATTGTGTCACTTTGAACACATCATCTTCTTCCCAGATCCAGTGCTACTTGCATGCATAAAGTAGCATCCATCTGATTAATAAATGATCATCCAGAGAAACTACTACAGCAATTAAAGATAAAAAAAATTTGAGAAGGATGAAAAAACAAATGCAAATAATTCATAGGGAAATTTTGTAAATTAACTGAAAATCATTCTCAAACAAATAACCTTCATCAGTACTGGCTGCTCTTGACTCTCCAGAGATACAGAAGGCATTTCTGC